TTTGCATAAAGTGTGACAATTTGCTTAGTACACAAAATTAGGATGATAACTGTGAAGCAATATGTTGAAAACTCTGTAGATAAATACAAAGCAGTACATTTCATCTCAGACTGCTCTGATAATTGGGAAAAGTTTATTTCTGTATTTTAACTGATAGAGCAATTACTCTTTTCTGAAATTAAAAGTTCTGTGTCCAAACGTTCCCTGGCAAAAATAATTTGTCTCCATAAAATACTTTATTTTAGAAAAAATAATATATCAATTGAGCAAGTACATTTAAACAATGTCAAAATAATTAAATACATTTTAAAATTATTTAATTTTTAAAAAATTACATATAGCCTTGAATGCTCAATATTTTTGAAGTATTTTTCATAAATATTGAGCATAAGCAGCCACTTTTTCATTTGTCTTATGTTATTTTGGGCATTAAGTAAATATTTCAATTAAATAACATGTGAACTTCTGTATATTATCATATGGGATTTTCTAAGCATACCAATTTCCTTTTGCACTCAAAATTGCCACCATTTTATAGTGCTATGACAGAATTTAATTAAACAATAATCAGACAATGAAATTATAGCATTTTTTACTAATACTGCTGTTGATACAAAACTACAAAAAAGTTGCATAATAATTTGTAACAAATTATAGAATCACAGAATGGTTGAGGCTGAAAGGAACTTCTGTGGTTATCTGGTCCAAAACCTGTTCAAGCAGGGTTATCTACAGCTTGTTGCCCCAGACTAGGTTCAGAAAAAACAGAAGGAAGAAACATCCACAAAATTTCACTGAATACACATCCTTCTTTCTCAGTGCAAAAATACTATTTGTTTGTGGTTTGTTTTTTCTTTGATGTTTTTATATTTTGGCACAAGATAAAGTTTTTATGAAACTAGAAGCAAGAGTTCTGCTATGTATTTCAAATAAAACGAGGTTTTTTTTTTTTTCTTTTTTCAACTGTTAAATAATTTAAGTTTTCAATATAGAGGTGAACTTCATATTTTTTACCTCCTCTGAATTTGGTTCAGATTTGTAGCCCTCCAGATGCAAAGAATTTGTTTGCACCAACTGCATTAGCTCATACAGCACAAATATATATTTTACTCATGCAACTTCCTCAAGAGTAAACTCAGAAATGTCTCTGGGATCATCAGAACCATTAGAAAAATAAGAAAAATTGAGTTTATTTTAATAGTTGAACATTGCAGAAGTGGATGTCAAGGACTTGATTTATACCATGCAACAGAAGACCATTATTAGAGGTGCCTAAATTGACAGTGAGAGAAATTTATAGGAAGTCAATGAAGGCAGTGCATTATCTTAAGAAAGTAATCAAATTCTTGTGCTAATTTTTTACCTTTTTTTTTTTTTTTTAATTGCCTGAACAGTAAAGGGACCCTGCTGCTCATTAACCTTATTTAGGTTAGCCTAATCTATGCTGAAAATTAGTTTTATGAACAAGGTACATAATATGCCTCAGTTAAATATACATGGTCATATTAAATTAGTTTGGTTATGTGAATATTATGTCTATAATCACAAATTAAATAAGGCCAAAGCCCATTCTCTGGACCTTGTGAAATGGCATAGCACTCTTTATATCCACCTTAATAAACTTTATCTTCCTCCAAAAAATACTTGTCTATGCCATCTACTGCAGTGGCCTCTAACTCTTGACATCTGTGAAAAACTGACCAGGAACAACCAAGGAACATGTGATCCCTGGAGAGAGCAAATCTGTTTTATGGGCCATACTAGCACTTTACAGTTGGACACTCACCATTTCAACACTATACTCATAGCTTCCAGGTCAGATTTCCTAAATCTTAATCTGGGACTGCAGAGGATGCAAATTTTTATAATGAAAGTCAGTGATTTCCAAGCCTGAAATCTTTTTTCAACACATTTCTTTGTAAAATCAGGCTTAGTTCCTCATCTCAAAAAACAGAAATATTTGACATAGGGTGAACAGTGGAGCCTTGAAATAGAGGCTCCACTGACAAACTAAAGTCAATGTCTATTTTATCTTTATCAACCACCCTAGTGGGAAAATTTAGAAATGACCTTCTAAAATACTTCATTAGCAGTTCTCATTTCAATGGATATTAATTAAGATGTTCCCCTTCTAGCTTTTTTATTATAATGTGACAATTTAATAGGCAGGAAAAATTTTAACAATTTTACAAGGATAATTTCAGATACATGTGCAGGGGTGTCTTTGATACCCTAGAGGATTTGGTTTTGCAATTATATGGAAGTCCTAATTACACGTTTTGTAAGTGAGAATTTTTCTAGTTGCTCCTCTCTGTACTGCAATTTTTGTGAAAATTTGTTGTCCTTTCAGCTATAACTTCCTATGTTTTGGAGTGGATTCCTACATATTCATGAATTTAAATATACCAATTTGAATAAAATACTTTCATTAAGCTATAATATTAAAAAAAGATCCTTACTGTCTGAACTCAAAAGCACAGAAGAAAAAAATTACGGGTTGAACAAGGACATAGAGTTTTGAAATAATTTATATTTCTGTTCAGTTGTTCTAGTACCTGCTATCTACTTTTAATGAATACTGCTCAGCTCTAATGTTATGTTTCACTTAACTTCCTTTCTGTTAGTAATATGCCAGGCTTAATCTTTTTTCACCTCAGTGTCTTTAAGAGTGTAGAATTGCAGATCTAATCCCTTCCCCGCAGCAAAACACAAAAGTTTACTTATCCTTTGTACCACTTACCCCTGTAGTTCAACAGTAAGTAACTACAAAAGAAAAAATCAGTTAAAAATCCTGAGACCTATCCTCAAACATTTTGTCATCTATAATTCTGTTCTTCCCTCTTCCTCTTTCTACCTCTACCACTTCCTTTTGTCCTGTGTTCCTCAGCATGTTGTTTTTCTACCAGTTAATCTACTTCCGCTTTCCTGATTTTGAATAGCACACAAGCCACTGCCTTTCAAACTATTGTGAGGAGAGATTAAAGTGTTAGAATCTCTCATTAAATGATTTCACAAAACATTTTCACTAATATTTGCTTCTAGTCAAAAGGAAAAGACCAAAATCAAAAAAATTATGTAGACCAGAATTCAGTCTCTTAAAGAATGACGTTCATTATCTAACAATCTAAAAGCAGTAAACTGGAATTAGATACCTAGAAACTTGGAGTCTTTGGTATGATACTTGTAAACCCACATTTTTACTACTCATTACAATTATCCTAGATAATGAACTATAAATTTAGACTGTAAATTGTGATGTTATAGAAGAAGTTTTCATTACTTCGATGTAGAAATATTGCCTCCTTTGAGACTTCTGGCAATCAAATTTAATTTCTCTTCAAAACACCATTTTAGGGAACATTTTGTTCCTCATTTATGGACAGGAGAGATTTAGATGAAGAAAGGAGCAGGAAAGAGGAAATTTTGTGGTTTAAAACTAATTGCTGATAAATCATTATGATGGTTAAAAAAACATTTGTTGAATTGCAATGTTTGCACTTATCTTTGACATTAATTCAGTCAATCAGTACACTTCAAAACAGCCACTGCAAGATAAAAAAAAGAGATAAGTTGTTGAAGACCTCCCAGGCAATTATGGCTGAAATTTTTCCTCATATTACACAATCTGTGTGTAAAACTCTACAGAAATTTGCCTCTTTGGAGTATCTTATCAGTTTTCTTAATCTTAAGTATTTTTTTTTATAATACTCATAAGAGAAAATTTCTCTAAGTATGTTTAAGTATTTGTATGTCTGTATGTGTCCGTAATGACTTTGATAACTGATTTTAAAAATTAATTAAAAATTTTCATGACTGGATTCAGCACGGATATAGTCTTGCCCTTCTAGAGTTAATAATAACATAAACTAAGAAATATTGCATGTTGTGAGGAGAAACACCTGGAAAAAATTGAATAATCTATTGAGTTAAAAAAAATGCTTCTTAAGATGTGTAAGATAATGATATTATTTCAAGATTTCAAGTAATTAAAAAAAAAAAACACTCAACCACCTTGCAAAAATACAACTCCAAAAGAAACCCACAACACAAACAAAAATAAAATCAAAAAATCATTCAGAAAAAATACCATAGGCTTGGTAACAGCCATGGAGGAAAAAATTATTTGTGTGAAGATGATGTATGAGTTAACAAAGACACCCTTTCTAACATGGACAACAAAACCAGAATTTATCTGACAAATACCTGTAATAAACATATCTGTATAAGTCATATAAGGAAGAATTCCTTGACACCACATAAAAGATACCATGTGAAGTGACAAATTTACTTTGGGGCTGTATAATGGAATTTGAAGAGTCTTTCTCATGTTTTTGTTCCACACACTGGGCATTGAAGCAGTCCTCATGGAACTTCGGAACATCAATAGAACCTCCACTAAAAGCAGGCTAACAAATAACACAAACTTTGAAGGAAAAGGCAGGTTATGGGATGTTCTAAATGACCACTGGAATATTTCCTCATGAGAAACAGCAGATATTCTGTGATCAGACTGGGTCGACCAACCCATTGTGGAATGCCCCTTTTCCTAAGAGACAGGAATTTGATCTTACCCATTTTGTGTTGCTAATAACTCCTCCCTTGACCCGCACCCTAACTACAATCCTGCAATTCCCTATAAAAACCCCGTGACCCTGCCTTTGCCTGGTCTTTTCTCTCTGTGCTGCCCCTCTTCCCTGAGGGTAATAAATGGGTTCTTGAGCCCTGAGGATAATAAATGGATTCTCGAGCTTTCTGAAACAAAGATCCGTCTCATTTATTCCCATGCTTGGTGCTGGCAGCTGCACCCTCCCTGGACACGACGAACCCAATTGTAACACACTGCAACAAGACATAACAGACTGTAGGTACTATAGTCATCTGCTCCGAATCTGTCCATCATCTTTTAACTCCACAGAATCAAACAACTCATCTGCAACATCAAAAAAAAATAAAAAAAAAGTTGTATTTATTTTGTTTACCTGTTTTTCTGTGTCTTTCAGTTTTGCTCCTGAGCATGCACAGTGCACTAGGTAAGGATTTGTTTGTCATTTTCACCACCTGTAAATAAATGACACCTTAAATTCTACTTGAGCTGTAATTTCTTTGATGGATATAAATGCTCCAAGGTAGAGTAGAACAAAGTATGATACTGAGTATGTTACAGTTTCTTGTCCAGTGATTTATAACAGCCATACAAAATGAACTTTATACCCTATAAATTCCAACACATGTTTATCTTCCGAAACTCATTTAGTTTCTATGACATGCCAAAACAATTTATCACTTCTACTGTGTTACATTAGAATTGGAATTTATTGTTCATTTCTTCTTTTTCCTTTTACAGACAATGCAGCAAGCTCCAAAGATCAAGTGAAGAATAATGAAGCATGACACACTTAGAGCTTTGAAATACAAGAACCTTGGAAATAATACTGATGCATGTATAATAATTACGGAAAATTATTAATAAAAACAATGCTGAATACTTGACAATATACTAATCAAAGATTGCAAAATGACTGATTAAAGTTCAACTTCTGTTCCATAAAATTAACTCTACATGGCTAAGAAAGTAGTGCATAGAGGATAGGAAAAGTGGAAATGTCAGCCATGATTTGGCTGTAATACAGTATGGAATGTGCTATATAGGTAATATACTGAATATAGCACAGAGGTAATGATGCAATGGTAAAACACACTGACTTATATTTCTAGTCGAGGTTGTTTTGGCCATGTTATTTTGGAAACTGTACTATCTTTTGTAACCACAGGTCTTATGATTTAGCCCATGCAGAGCTAAATAAAGGATTAGTTATTGTTAGCTGTAGTGTCTTCACATTCTGAAGCACTTTTCATGTATTTACACACAAATTGTTATTTTTTCCAAGTAGTAATTTCTGTACTAACAAAGGAGAGTATTAAAAAAGAACCCCAACAACATACAATGTTGTTGTACATGGCAACACAAATGAATGAGCAAATTCTGAAAAATAAAAGAATTGCATGTAATGACATTTCAACGGAATATCTTACTAGCTTCCAGGTGATAGCAGTTCAGAAAACTTTTGAGCAAAGGATGGTGTGCTGTGGTCATAACCTTAGGTATATTTTATTTTCATGAATGGTTTTTAATGGTTTTAAACTGCTGTAACTTTCTTTCTTCAAGGACTTTCATAACTTAATTGTGTATTTTGTAAAGAATCTGCTTTCTTTTTCATTTTGAATTTGATCAGTTCCTGTTCATATCTTCTGTTGAAAAAGCAAACTCTCTTTACTATTTCTCGTGTTCCTTTCTTTTCCCCTGCCAATCATTTCTTTCCAAAATTAAGCGTGTTAATATAATTTTTCCTTATACAGAAGTCGTGTCTCAATTAACCTTGACATTTTTTTTTAGTTGTTTTGCTTCTGTCTTTTCTGTGTCAGAAGTACTGTCCACTGTATTCAAGGATTTTTTTAACTCTGCAGAAGTTTAACAATCTATACTTGAAAAGAACAGCACATAAAATAGCTAAAGATTATGTTGCAGTACAAACACCCAGGAAAATTTAAAGGTATAAATTGTAATATTAGCTTTGATCATTTTTGATCATCTATTATAGATATCATACTTTCTCAAAGCAAATTTTTCCTACTAAAACAAAAAAAAATAAAACCCAAATTATTTTCTTTGTGCATATTTTATTTTGGCATTTGGTCAAAAAATTTGAGAATTGCATTATCCTATTACTTTGTCCTAATATATGAATCAATTTAACCTCTCCTGCAATTTTATGTGTTTATTGTGCTAATTATCAGCATAACTCCAGCTTTTTGCTACAGTGTGGGAGGAGAAATATTGTTCTTGCATTCCCTTTTATGGCAGCTGACATTCTATTGCACAACTCTGACATGGAATTAAGCTTATTGGTCCTAGATGATAATGTACTTTAAATTATAAATAGGATAATTTCAAATTAGTTTCTTCTCTTTAGCATAGACTATAGAATACATCATATCAATCTGACTTCTCAAAAGAAGGGAAAACCTTGTATCAAAGCCTTGGCTCAGACAAAGTGAAGGGTCTACAAGCAGACCTGGTTTGAAGACATTCTAAAAAGAGAAATAATCATAGAATAGTTTGGATTGGAAGGAACCCTAAAGATCGTGTAGTCCAACCTCTCTGCCATGGACAACTTTCACTAGATCAGGTTGCTAAAATCCCCATCCAACTTGACCTTGAATGTTTCCTTTTATGAGGCATCACAACTTCTCTTGACCATTTGTTCCAGTGTCTCACCACCCTCAGAGTTAAGAAATTCTTGCTCGTACTTTCTACCTTCTTTCAGTTTAAAGTCATTCATCCTTGTCCCATCCTTGCAGGCCCTTTTAAAAGTCCCTCTTTACCTTTCTTGTACATCCCCTCTAGCTGCCAGAAATCTGCAATAAGGCCACTAGAGCCCTACTCCTCCAGGCTGAGCAACCTGGAAGCTCCTTCAACCTGTCTTCATGGGACATATGCTCCACCTCTCTGACCATGACTGGTCATTTTCTGACCATGGCTGTCCCCTGGACACTCTCCAACAGGTCTATGTGTTGTACTGGGGACTTCACGGCTGGATGCAATTTAATTCTTTCATTGTAAATGAACACAATATAAGAGTGTTTAAAAAAGAGATAGTGGTAAATTAAAAATATAAAGTAGAAGCAGCCCAAGCCCTTTTGGATTGAATTTATTACAAAACTTACAAGTAGCCATAAAACCAGAGCTAACTGTATTGATGTAAATACTTAAGTTATTGTAAACAAAACATAGATTCCTATTTAAAATATAAAGCTAACTTTTATTTTTTAGCTCACTTTTATCACTTCATGTGGTCTATATTACAAAAAGAAAAAATTCATTATTAAATTCCACTGACATAATATCTGTACTTCCTTCTTGGACAGAAGATACAAGTTATGGGTGCTGTGGCACTAAGAGCACTTGCACTTTGCCATATTTATTACAATATAATTAAAAGTAAGTTAGAAAAAAGCAAATATAATAATATAATATAAATATCAATACTCTATTAAACTTCTAAAGAATTTTCATTATTATTTAAAGATATTTCACTTATCATTAATAGATTAACTACTTTCCTTAGAATAAAATGAACATGCATTTATTTCACAGTGCATTCCAGCAACTTGTCTGTCTGGATAAAACTACACAAGACAAGTGAAGCCAGACAGTATTTAATTGCCTCTTTGCCATGAACTCAAAAGGCTTAAGGAAAATCAAAGCCTTTCTGAATATGCTTTTCCTGCAAGGGCATCTTTTCTTATTTCTTTTTAAACCTCACAAACTGCTTTCAAGCCAGCATATTCATTAGACTTTGGAACAGAATTTGAAATGTTCTCTTACAAAAACAGAAGTCACAAAGACTAAGATGTTAGAAATATTTTGAATTAACTGCAAAAATACTGATGTCTAGAAAAGAAGAAATTTTATGCCAGTGTCATGACAGGAAGTACTGCAAATGTACTTCCTTGAAGAAATATTGAGCATCTTCGATGGGACTCTTCAGGTCAAAATTGCATGAAAACTGTATCAATTAGACATGCAAGAGAAATATGCAAACAAAAAATTTATAACAGATGCAAGGATGCTGAGCTGTGCATAACTGGTAAGTAAAGAATGAAAACATTGACATGAAAAGGTATAAAACTACTCAAAACTAAAAAAGAAGAAAATGGAGCCTGCAGCTCAGAAACATTGAACACAAGGCCATTTCAAATAGCAACAGAGTGCAACCAACTTACCAGCAAGAGTCTGCTCAGCTCCTAAGTCTGAGCATTTTAGGAGGTGATAACAATATTAAAGCTCAGATTTAGAAATTAGTCTTAACTTTCTCTTATGAAACTTTGTCCAGTAGATACTGACTTGTATTTTTGTGTTTAGCCAACATAAATATGATAAAACTCAACAAAACTTAATGCCCCAGTGTGAATGCAGGAGGAGTGGGTCAGAGACAGACAAACCTGCTGTTTGTGTGGTAACAGAGAGCATTTATTCTTGGGCTGGATTTCTTATTTATAGCCTAATTATTTGCCCACTACAAGCCAGATTGTACAGTAACACTCCAGAGAAGGCACTATCAAAATTGATTTTGCACATCATATTAAACATTCATCAATTCTCATCCATTAAAAACATTTTATTTAGCATAAAATAATTTTAAACAGGGAATCAAATATCCTTTACTCTCACCAGATTTTTAGAAGAACATGCATCATTTGGTAAAAGCCTTTTTCTTTCCCCTACTACCTGGCTCCTTTTTCAAAACAAAGGGGGAGACAAAAAATCACTAAAAATGCCAAAGATATTGTGGGGACAGAAACACAGCGATGTTTGTGGTTCAAGATGATTACTACAGGCGAGCAATGGCACAGAAGACAGAAAGACACATTAGTGAGGTGTTGGGTCAAAGTTAGCATGCTCTGCAGGGAACCATCACAAACGTGTACAATTAAATAAACAAATATTGGGAAAACTCTTATTAGAATTAGAGATGTAAATGCCTCTTTTATTGTTTCCATTGACTCAGTATGACTACATGATCTATCTGTGCAAGTAAGATTCAAAAAGGAGAGGAAATTCAGAAAAGTGATGTCTTTATTAGTTAAATATTATGGACCCCAAACTGATAAAAAATTGACCCAATAGCAAAGGAAAAACATATAGTTAATTTCATGCAACATAATACAATATTAAACCCATCTCTTCTTTGATTTAATTTCAGATTTGTCATATGATATGTATTGTAGTTACTCAAAGAAGTGAAAAGTGCCTCTAACAGGAGTTATAACAGAAATCTTTATTCAGGAGCCTCAGCTGAGTTGTTCCTGACTTTAGATCAGATAAATATAACACATCTTTAACACACATAGAAATGCCAAAAAGATCATGCCTTTTATTTCTGATCTTGAAACTGTAATATGATTGCATATCTGCTACTTTTATTTTGTTGAAGAAGTAGCAGGGTTGATTTATTTCATTTGGAATTTTGCACTACTCTCAATTTAAAATACACTCAAGAACTCAAACCAATCTTTTGATATGTTAAAATCTTCTACATCCCAGTTCAAATATCTTAATCTATTGATTTTTCTTTTTTTTCCAAAAGTCAATGGAATATCAGTAAGTTGGTTTGATCTTACTACTTGTCAGATGAGATTAAAACACATATAGACACTGAACATCATTAAAGTCAAAATGACCTTAGAATTAACCTATCTAAATTCTTAGCATTAAACCATCTTAACCTTAACAGTAGTGCTTATATAAAAGAAAATTTTAAAAAAACCAATTGTATCAGTACAGCTAATTTATGAAGGATACTAGACTACATCAAAGCAGATAAAAAACTCTTGTGCTGACTGTACACCATAGGAAAGGAAAATTGCCATTTTTAAAACAACTTAACTACATTACCATTATTAATATAATGTACAAAACAAATACAAATACTTGCAATTT